CAGAGAGAGAGAGAGAGAGAGAGAGAGAGAAAAGAAAGAGAGCACGCTTGGTCTCATCTAACACGCCAGCTTAAAACAAATAAAGAAAAAAAGAAAAAAAAAACAACACCAAAAAAAGAAAAAACGGTTATCCTTCTGAACATGCAGAATAATAAGAAAGACATCACAACAATTCTCTCCCCCTCCCTCCTTTTTTTAAAAGCCACAAGGCGCCTTCCAATGGATCGACGCGGAAATACGGAGTAAGGCAGTTTCATATTTCTAGAAATATGACATTTAATGAATTTGACTCCCGCCTCCCTCCCCCACTCGGCCTATTTTTGTCCTCCTCTCCGCATTTCGTGCGGCCCCACCGCAAAACCAAGGAAATTTCACCCCTTTACCCTGCCATCTCAAGCCGCATACGCCGGCACCATATCCAGCAGGGAGGAAAATCGACATTTATCCACCGCCTGTGTGTGTGTGTGTGTGGGTGAATGCGTTCAACACCAAACAACACCCACATCACACGACAAGCGAGAAGTTTGCACTCAACGAGACGCACTGAACAGCCAAAAGGAGACAACAGAAAAATGCTACCGCCTGCTGAACACACTCGACTCCGCTCCTTCCTCTTCCTCATCCTCCTCCTCCACTTCCTCGTCGGCCTCGGAAGTGACCGCAGGGCCTTCTTGTTTGGCACAGCCCTTTTCGTGAATTGCCGGCGCAAGACTTGCCAAAATTTCTTCAAAACTGCGGCCCGTTGATCCTCCACGCAGAAATTGACCCTGTTGCCCGTCGCCGCTGCTCGCCTTGTAAAGTTGACGGCCGGCGCCGGTTTCCCCGCTCTGGTCAGTCGCGGCGGTCTTTGGTACCGCTCCGACGTCATGCACGACGCCCGTGCCGTCCGCATTGGCATATGTTCCACTGACAAGATTCCTCAGCCACACACGCGTCGTTGCCGCATCGTACGCCCCGGAACCTGCGGATCCTCTCGCTGCCGCACCGTCATCTGTGGCATCAGCTGTGGCGTCCTTCTCAGCATTCAACTCCTCGGTGTTGTAGCTTTCGGCATCACCGAGATCGCGGGAACGCTGCCACCGCTTCTTGTGTTTCTCCGCCTCCGCACTTATGGGGTCAAACTCCTCCACGGGCTTGGAAAGGTCCAAAAGGAGATTGTTGTCCTCCACTGGATTTCCCTCCTGGCGTTTTCGCTCTTTCAGCCACTCGCCACCGTCAATGGCACGACCCATCCCAAGAGCATCCACATCACCGGGCTTTCCCGAGCCCCACAGCTTTATTCTCCTCGCCAGGCGACGGTAGCTGTAATTGCGGCAGTAGCGAGTCAAGAAGTATGCAAGAAATACAACGGGGAAGATGAGTAGAAGAAGCAATAAAAGAAGAAAATCGGAATCATCCTTTTTGTCACTTTTGAAATGGTCGTCGTTGTTGGCGCCAGCAGGTTGCGATTCCCGTAGCATGCCCATTACCTATAGAGCGAACAGTCACTCCTTGCTTACAAGCCAGTGCACAGGGAAGGAAAGGAGAGGGCGCACCGGCATTCATAACACAAGCAACGAACCGTTGTCCATCTCCACTCACAGAAATAACAACCACAAAAACAACATCAACATAAAAAAAAAAAAAAATGGAATGCGCAATGGATCTCTTTTTGTTTTTGTTTTGTTTTGTTTTCTTAAGAAAAAAGGACTGAGGAATGTTTCCTTGTTTCATCTTGCGTCCTTCCACTCTTTTCCCACATCACTCACAGGAAGTTAACAGAAAAGACAAGTCATCATGTGCGCAGCAAGTGACATTCCTAAGCAATTGGTACAACACAATTAAATGGATCAAACTAATAATAAAAATAATTCACCTTACGTCGCCATCCACACCATTGTGTGCCCTTTCCCCCAACATACACCGGCCGCACGCGACATACCCATGATGTTCACGCCCCACCCATCATACCCAAAAACCACTCCTCCACCCACCCACCCACCCCCCGCTAAGCGAAGGCGTAACTGCAACGGTGGTAAACACATTTCAGGAACAACACTAATGTGAAGACTGTGGTAAGTAGTCTTTGTGCGGGAGCGTGGATGCCGCCGTCGCCGCTTCCATTGCCTCTCGCATCACCCTAGAAAAAGCCCCTCTTCCATCCCTGTTCAGGGAAATAGAGTGGGAAGAAGAAGCCACAGGAAGTGTGGGTAGAGAAGAAATGTCCATCGAAGATGTTTTGCCGTCAAGATGGGACATCATCGAGCCGTTTGCGGTAGGTGCATATAACATTCCCGCGGGATCAGAGCCAGGTGTGCGTCCACGCAAACCCCCCGTGGCATTGGATCGGGAAAAAGTCAAGTCTCGATTTTTCCGGTGCAGCCCACAGCCGTCTTCTATTTCGCCTTCCTGAGAGACACGACAGCGAGGCACAGAGGAGGTGAGAAGAAAGCCTTCACTTTGCCCAAATGTCGCATCCAGCACCGCTCGTTTGCGTTGCTCTATTGCCTCCTCCAGACGCACCTCAAGTTGCCTCAACTGACTAATCATCTCATGACGCTCCATTTTGATACCTGTCAGGGTTTCCTGCTCCTGAATGGAAAGATTCTGCTGGCTCCATTTAACCTGCTGCTCTATACAATGAACACTCTTGAGGAGTTTCGCCTCCTCCGCTTCAAGATCCCGAATACTGGCAAGAAGTGTATCCCGCTCCTCCTCAGCCAACTCGGCAAAATGCGATGGAGCCTCTCGCATGCGTGCAGCATGTCGTCTCTTATTTTTTTCAACATGAATTTCTTTTGCCACCTCCATCCGCATGATACGACGTGCATGGTCCTCACACATGTAAACCTTTTGTCGTGCCATGTCTTCCTCTAACCACACCTCTGCATGCTCGAGAATCAGCCACCCACGTAGTTCCGCCTCAAAAGAATATGACAGAGAAACAAACGCAATCTCGTCGTCGTCTGCGGCATTGCCAGTGAAGCCCGTTTGCCTCACAGCCAAAGAGGGAATTCCATACAGCGCCGTACGAAGAATACGTAACGCCTGATTTCGTGTCGTGTGTTCTATTCGATCTGTCATGTCCCATTTAGACGCCATGAAACCGTCATGTGACGGCCACTCCGCTTGCGACTTCACGGGCCTTGACGGCACTCCATTTGCCTGAAACGGTGAGAGACCATTACACGGGGATTCCTTAACGTTTAGCAAATTCGAACCGTTCGCGGGGGCAGCCAGTGCCACACGTCTCCTAAACATATCCCGCACCTGCTCATGAAACGATGCCGCTCCCTCCAAGGGAATGTTGTATTGGTGGTCCTTCCAGGCACCAAAAGAAGAAGCCGCGGCGGTTGTGGTGGCCAAATTAACTTTCGTGGCTGGTGAACTCATTGATGATGTGAACAAGCCCCTGTGATCATTTTGCGGACTGGTCAGAAGAAACCCGCAGGATTCTTTAGGAGAGGGGGACGGCGAAGAAGCAGTCGGCGGGAAGTTGCCAGACCGCCACGGCCGAGCCGGTGAATTCTTTTCAACTTCCACCCCCTCGTTCCCCCCGTTCCTCCCGCTCGGTCCCTCCTGCCATTTTCGCTGGGGACTCGCGAGGGCACCAACAGCCGTGGGCCCGCCGCCCTTGCAAAACCCCATCTGGCGGAAAAGAATGGGCGACGTGTACACAAACGATTCCTCGCGCACAGAAGACACGGCGCCGCCCCTCCCATGCATTCACCTTCCCGCTGAGGTCACTCTCGCCGCATCGCCGATACCGTCCCACCAAATTAGAAGAAACAACAAAAAAAAAAGGCTGTGGGTAAAGAAAAAGGAAAGAAACGCACACACACAGACGCACGCATCCGCCACTACACAAAAGGGCAAAAAAAAAAAACTAATAAATTCAAAAACGGTGAAGTATTGGTCAGAATCACCAGCGTGAGACAGCCTCCTTGTTGATAGGGCGATGCCACGCTTGTCCGGTTTCCTGCAGCCTCCGCTGCAATTTCTCCCTATCTGCTATTTTGGCCCGTGTCCACATCACCTCTGCCACATGTTTATTGTCAAGATACGCCATCCAGTTCTTCTTCAACAAGCGTCTCTCATCCATAGACGTATAGGGTGCGGGCAGATCCAGTGGCATTGTTACCTTCTTTGCGCCCGGTGCGCCACGCGGTCGATACTGCGGCCCATGTAGTGCAAAGTACCTCTTGCCACGCAGCGTCAAAGCCCATGACTGGCCCTGAGGACTATTCAGCCACTTCTTCTCCCACTCTTGTCGGGCGCGAATCTCATCAACCGGAATATGTGCCTTAGCCGCCGGAATGGTCCGATATGTCGTCGGCGTCGGGCCCTGACCCATATGCAGTGTCCCACCAACCGTCTCTACGGAGTCTTCCGGTACCGTGTAGAACTCGGGGTTGTCGCGGATACCCATCACAATCGGCTTCAGGTCCTTTAGAAATTGCTTGTAAATGTTTATCTCCGCCTTCTCCATCAAGCGTCGGCCCTGAGCACAAGCATCTGCGTAGGCTGCCAAAATAAGTTGCTGTTGACGGTATGACGAGAGTTCCTCCAAACATGGGTTCACTCGCACGCGCTTCAGGTATCCTGCAGGGGTCGTGACAACCTCCACCCGACCTTCCCACGCGCGGCCCACCACTTCCATACGGTCAAAACGAATCTGGTGCTCGTACTTGTTATTATAGACATAGGCTAAAATGCGGTGAAACTGCCGCTCCGACATAAGACGGCCATGGTGTGCCCATAGAGCCCCACGCACACGCTCAGTGATGCGTCGATACACTTCCATTCGACACTTTTCTTCTCCCACCCCCTCCTCCACCCACACACACAACACACAAAAAAAAAAAGGCTACCCCCCCCCCCCCTTTAAAAAGCAACAATGAGAGAAAAAGAATACGTTGCGAGAAAAACAATAAAGAAGGACATCATAGTTTTAAGAAAGAGTCACGCATACCCTTAACTTCGCTCTCACATTATTTCTCTGTGTGTCCGTACCAAAATTCTCATCGCGAAAGCGGTGCCAGATCCTCTTCCTCCACTGTTGTGGCATCGCCGCAGTAAAGCGCCTCCAACTCCATGTCCACCTCTGTGTAGCCGGGCTGTGTGACAATGTACGTGCGTCGGGGAGGAGCAAAGCGTTCTAGCGCCTCGTCACCACACACTCGCTGGCGCAGCTCATGTTCACCATCTTCATACCTCTGAATGGCTCGGTAAAAGGCGTCAATGAACCTTGCCTCTTCTTCCTCAGTCCATTTGTTATACCACTCCAAAGGGTAGTCAAAATCCGCCTCTGGCCACACTTTACGGAAAGAACGGACCACTTCCAGAACGGAGAACGCATTTTTGGCACGTCGTCCCTTTTTATTCTCAAAATATAAAGTGCCATTCCATGAAGACATAGTCTCTGCGTCGTCTTCAATAAACTCCCACTCCTTGGAGGATGGCGTAGGGCGGTCGTGTAATTTGCAGACCGTTTCTTCCGACCCACTACCCATTGCCTGTTTTACTACCGCGTAAAATAATTTTTCTTCTTCTGTTGAAATCATAAAGGGATTATGGATGCGCTGCAAAACCAAATTACCGTGTATTGACACCATGCTGTTGCTTTCCACACCTTCTTGTGGCAGCATGCAATGCAGCGCCCCCAAAAGTGGTGAAGCATCATGGAGCAGGCGAAAAACCACCAACGACATTATTAGAGACTCATGGAAGAATTTAGTCCGCTTGTTGGTGTCCTCGGGCAGCACGGCGGAAAGTCTCTCACCCCCCATCCTACAAAACATGAGGGCAAAAAACAACTCCACTGCATCCCCGCCATCAGAAATTCTATTCCCTGAGCCCACTGCATGGCCCAGCCACGTTCCCACAGACGCCAGGGATATATTCACAAAGGTGAGTTTTGCCACATCACGTGCAAGAAGGGCGATAAACACAAAAGAATCCATGGACGACTGCTGGGAATTCCACCTAAGACGGTAGAACTCCTCAAGAAAAAAACGTAATCGCCGCAGTGAAATGGGATGCTCCCACCAATTAGACAAGGCATCTAAAATTTCAAGGTCGTCGCCCTCGTCGTCGACATCATTATTGCCACGCCCCTCTTCATTTTCACGAAAGATGTTGTTGTTATTGTTGTTGCCGATGCTAGTTTGTCCAGGAACGCTTTTATTTTCCCTCTCCGTTTGCACTGCAAGCCACACACAGTGCGCCAGCGGATCCGAGATGGAGAAGCCCATCATTAGCCATCGCAACACTCGCCACCAGAGTGGCAGTCCCTTCGTCAATGGTGTCGTAGCACCACTCCGCAAAACCTCCTTCGCGACAACATCACAAATGGAGGGAGATAAAGTAGGAATTGTGCGACCCAACTCCTTGGAGACCATCTCCTCAAATAACTCATGCATTCTCGGTTGCTCCCTCATCGTGTTGTCATTACTGTGACCATCATTGTCATCCATGCGGCACGCTAGCTTTTGCAGCCGAATAACGATATCATTTTCCCACCCCATGACAGCAAAGACCAAACGGCACGCATGTCGTTCTTGCAATAATTTCACAAAATCTCGATACAACATCCCACTGCAGCGTAAAATTGCCCCTTCGTCCACACATGGTAAAGACCAAAGCAGCCATGGGATGTTCGGTGTTCTCATCACCTCGCCCGAACGGCGCAAAAAACGACGGACATCTCGCGAAAACACCACCTGTCGAGGCGATTCATCATTCACCTTCAAGAGTACAAATTTTTGTTGTTGTTGCCAGATGCGTGCTGCAACAAAAGAACCGCTCCATTCCGTCTCCTTCTCAAGGCTTGAACCGGCGGCTATGACATCCAGCCGCTCCTCCAACCACGACAAACTGAACTGGTCCTGCATGTCGACAACGCAAATCACGACATCTGCAGCTTTGCAGTGTGTGCGTAGCAATTCCCGTGGGGAGGAGCCAGGGATGTCGACGACCTTCACGGAGACGGGAATACCCGCATCTGTGACAGTCAGCACCGCCTCGTTAACGCCCACAAAAGACTGCAAGAGAAATTGCGCGTCATGGCCGACAAAAACGTGTGTTTCACCACAAATTTCTAGCTCTACACGCTGGTGACTCTGAATCTTCGTCGTCGTCTCTTCTCCAAGCAGTGGGGACGGCAGCGGCGACTGCAGAAGGGCAGTCAAAACGGATGTTTCCCCCTCATCCTCCTCACCGTTCCCTTCCACAATATCATCGCCACGTCGCTGAAGCCAATTGTGTAGCGCACGCAGCATATGCGCATCACCCCAACCCCGACTCCATGCCCAAAGCCACTGCACCATCGTTGTTTTCCCGACTGCGGAACTGCCGACAAACACAACATGCAGCGGCTCCTGACGAAACCGCGCAGAAGCAGCAACAAAAAGTGGCAGGTGGCATTGACCGGCCATTTCTTGTAAAAACGCCGCACCCCTTTTCATCTTTTCCGGAAGTGAAAAACAAGACGAAAAGAAGTCTTTTTCACTCATTGGTGAGAAGCGACTCCCAAGCGTGACACAACTTTGAAAGCTCGTAGGGGAAATTAATGAAAACGGCAAATGGCAGGAAGCACGTGGGCCGATGCCACAACTGTGAGGATGGCGTTTCATTTGCGTCATTATGTGCGCTCGCCATAACGGTGTCAATGAGGCATACACGGGTAAAAACGAAGTGTTCGAAAGTTCCGTGGTTTGAACGGCTGCAAGCCCAAAAGAATCAAGGTTCACAGCGAGATACAATAATTCTTCTGCATTTTCTGGAGGCACAACTCGAACCCGCCAGAAGAGGGCTTCTCGCTGTCGTTTCGGCAGTTCATCCTCCAGCACAACCCTCGTTTCTGGATAAACAAGACCACTACACGATGAGGCTGCCGCCTCCGACGCAAATATTCTTTCCTGAACCCCCTCACGGTTTGCCGAGGTTACGGTAACGCGCACACAAGGCGTTGGTGACATTGCCTGTCGAGAAAAGAGGAAAAACTGCCACCCGTTCTTGGAAGGCACCGCCTTCATCAAAACACCTGGATGATCCACCGAGTGTAAATTCCACCCCGCAGACTCCTTATTCGATGCTTCGTCAGACGAGAGAAAGAAACGGGAGGCGGTGTCCGCAGAAGGAGTTAAAAAAAGCTGCGGGGAACCCCCCAAGGCGCACGTGAGTGTTCCCCCTGTTTCAGCGTATTGCATAACAAGCTGCAGATACCAAACCAGCGACGACGATGATGATGATGATGAACGAAATGGTGGAGGTTCTGCAAAACTCAACGGTTTCAGTGAAGTATCATCGGCAAAAATACAAAGAAAAATTTGCGCAAAACATCCCTGAATAAATTCCAGTTGCAGTAGAGGCGCGATTTCACCACTTTCAGAGACGGAATACTCCGTAGATGACTTCGCGACGGGTTCCGAAGCAAGCATCTCAAGCACATCCTCGGAGGAAAGCCGATCCGGGAGCCGCTGTCCCTTCTTTGGAATAGGCAAATCCTCCATTTCTGTAGGAAAGCAAAACGACGATTGACGGACGAAGTCGCCGATTTCCTCGTGCGGCAAAAGAGGTGTCATCGAATGCGATGAGATTGTCGCTTCAAATGGCGTGTGATTCCAGTCCACCTGCCAGCTCCCGTTGTCGTCCTCGACGACAAGCAAACAGCCGGGGGTCAAGCACGGAGCTGTCGCATCACCAGAATATTCCCGCCGGCCAAACAACAACAGGTCCATGGCAGGCTCCACACTGGGAAGTAACAGGCTGCGCTGTAAGCTCCTCCACCAGTCAGCAAACCACACGGTAGCCTCTGGCGAGGGTACATCGCATACAACGGGGGCTTCTTCGGGATGAAACCACAACACGATACCGGGACGCTGCTGAAGAACACTTGCAGGAAGGGAGGCAGCAGCACCAGTAAGATGCAGTGCAGTATCGCCAGAAACGTAAATAAACCACTGGGGCGAATTCCATAATTTCAATGACTCCCACGATCCATCATTATTCATCGATGCCATCACGTGCGTTGAAATCACCTCCACAAGCTGTTCCTCACTCGGCACGTCATGCTTCTCCCCTTCGGCTTCGGCGCCCACCCGACATCCGGACAGCTTCAGTAAGGAAGTGTCCTTCTCCTCGCCGCGTCCCAAAAGTAACTGATGTAAACCCGCGTCCCCCGTTAAGATAATCGCCCGCAGAACATTACCACGCGTAGCAGACGACAAAGAAGAAGAGTACACTTGCAGACATGTACCATCCAATCGCACAAGAGCCTGGCAAATGTCGTCCACGACAGACCACACGTGCCCAGTAGTATCATGACCGCCCACCACTCCCTGAGAAGAAACTGCCAGCAACAGCACCCGCAACGTCCCCTCCAATCTCCACGAGCTTCGTCCGGTACATGAAGACATCAACACGCACACATGCAAACAGACACAAACAAACAAAAAAAAAATACGTCTTGTTTCTTCTTTTATTCGTCTCTCTTCTCCGTGCAAAAAAAAAAAGAAAAAAGAAAAGAAAAGAAAGGGCAAGACAGAGATCTCTTTGAACGCCATCCCCAATACTCTATCACCCTCATACACTCACATGCACACACGAGAACAATATAAATGTAAAGCAACCTTCAAAACAACCACATCACCGGCCCTTCACACGGGACGTCGGCCAATACGTGTTTCTCTCGCCATATCTTTTCCATAACCCGACCGGCATCGAGCGGTATGATATTTTTGCGGTGCTATTTAGGTGCATCTGCTCCCGGGAACGCAGTGTTTTTGCTTGCCGAATCTCGTTCATGTATTTGGCCGCCGTGACTTCACCCTCAAACTTCTCAAAGTCTTCGATGACGTTTCCGGCATTGCGAAGATACGCCTGCAAATCCTTTTTCGTCATCCCCCTCATCGCTGCCTCCTGCTTGATACGCTCCCTCTTTTTTCGCAAAACATCAAGTGCGGTCCATGGAGATGTCGGGCAAACGGTCACAGCCTGCTGTGCAAACTGACGTGCAGCCCACTGCGACCGCCGCTTCTCCACGTTACACGGCTCCACAAGAGAGGGGCCAAACTTCTTCCCTGCCTTATACTCGCCAATTCGACCGTCTTCCTCTTCCACAAGGAAACGGGTGACTGACCCCATGTTCACACGCTCACGCCACATTGCCTCCTTTGCACACTGTCTTTTACTCCGGCCCATCTGCTTATCCCGACTCGCATACTTCTCCAAAACTCCTAAAAAACAAGAGACAACACCATTGGTTTGTTGACGCATCACTGAACGTCCGCTCTTCCTACCCAATCCAATCACTGCGGAGGGCAAATCCGCTCTCGTTGGCGTCGTCTTTCCGTATTCTTCATCGTTCATCGCCGTGTCCCCCGTTAAAACTGTGGGGTTGATGGAGCGCAGATTATTTTTTTCCTCCTCCTGGACGTGAGTCAAGCCCTTTTGTGGTGCTGCCGCGAAGCACTCGCCGCCTTTCGCATCATCACTATCATCCTTGACGTTAGCTTCCATGTACGGCAATTCGAGCCACTCTGCATCCGGTCGTTCAAGTCCTGTGTTCAGGCGAAAGGTGCCATAGTCGGACTTATACCGATGAAGCGGATGTGTGTGACGCCACGCCAAGAATCGCTGCCTTCGCCGCGCCTTCTCATTCTCTTCAACGTCTCCAAGATGGTAGCTTGCGTCACGCATGTTGTCTTTGTTCTTCTTCTTCTTCATCATCTCGTTGCTGTCCTCCGAGTGAAACAATAGCAACGGTTCGTCAGCCGACGCGGACATGTGAGCATTCATGGCAGCTCTGTCATTTCCACCCAGAGAAAGCACATATTTTTGCGAATTCATTTGTATCGGGAGCGACGGTGCGGTGCCTGCTGAAGAATCTGGTGGGTTTTGCATTTCGTCTCCCTTTAGTGCTGTAAAAAACGCCTTCGCTTTTTGCGTCCCCACACGGTGGGCCTCCTGCACACGTCTCGCTTCTTCCTTCAATGCCGCATCCATATCTGCATCCGCCTTGGCCTTCAACATCTGTCGCAGCCGATCGCCTGGGATGAGACCGGAGGTTTCTGCAATCAAACCGCGGAGGAGTTCAACGTTGGTGCCGTCCTTCGCGGAGGTGGGGAGGATAAACGGAAACACTTTCCGGTATTTACGCCGGTACTTCGTGATGGTCGCATAAATCTGTCGCATGACGGAACACACACGCGAGTGTGGCACAGAGTCGCACTTCGTCAGGACTATAAAAAAAACACCATGAAGATTTTCTAGCCAAGTAAAGTAACGCAAATCCACCTTCGTGAGTCCACGCTCACAGTCAACGCAAAAAAGCACAGTGTTCACAGAACGCCGCACGCCCAGGTAGGCATCTGTGAGGGCGATCGCCTTGTCGCGCCAATGATCCGACATGCCCTCTATGCCGAATCCGGGAACATCCACAAATGTCAACTGAACACCACCGCCAGGGAGCTTCACCAAGCCGTTGCCCTTCACATTGAGGTACCGCTGCATCTCCTCCGGTGACACACTCTGGTAAAAGGAAATTTGTCGGGTCGTGTTCGGTGTACTACTTGTCTTGGCCAGCGTTTGCCCGAGAAGCGCGTTTAACAGACTCGACTTTCCCGCACAGGCCTTGCCGACCAAAACAATCTCCTGATACAAATCGTTCACCTCAAAAAAGTAATTGTGATTATCATACAATGTTGGCTTTCTTCGAGCACGCCGTTGTTGTCCTCTCACTGTAGTAGAGCCGGCGTCCTCATCCTCGCGCAACAAACCTGCCTGCCGCACCAGTGTGTATTGCTGACCCAGCATGACCTTGTTTCCGAGTTGTTTGGCCTCCTCCGTTATTTTTCCAAAGCTCAAAGGAGGTGGTGGAACCAGCTTCTCCTTGTATGTGTAGTCTGACGGGTTAGGGTGCGTCATTTCATACAACACACGACGTCGCTGGGCAACAAGCCGCTCCCGTTCCTCCTTGAAAGCATCCGTTACTAAATCAATCACATCTGAACCCACACCACGTGCCGCCGGGTGATGCTCACAGAGCCGCTCGCGCTCCGATGAGGCGGCCACCTCGCACAGTTGCTTCGCGTGAACGCCGTCCAACACGATGTCGTCATCTACCGCATCCGCGGAGGGACACAGCGCATCCGCGGTGGGTTCTGGCACCATCTCCAACAATGCCTGTTGCGTTGCGTGACGTGGCCTTCTCGATGGGGCTGCCGGCAAGGCAGCGAGAGACGGGCCGTCCGCCACCTTCCGCGTGACAGACTGCTGCTGGGCGTAGCGCGGAGGGCTGCGTAGCGGCATGCGCCCAAGAAGATCGAAGGTTATGGAAGAGGCGCACCGCCATGTTGGCGTTTTGAAAAGCATCCAAACGCCTCTGATGCCGTCACCCCGCCGCTGCAGATGACGTCAAAAAAACAAAAAAAAAGGAGGAAAAAAAAAAATCCAAAGCGCGCAAATGTTCACCAAAAAACGAGTCAGCACCGCAAATGAACGCGTCTTCCACCCGTGTTCCCCGCATAACCACAGAGAGAGAGAGAGAGAAAGAGCGCGCGGCTGACGACGGAATTGTGGACACACCAATCGTCTGTTGCTGCCCATACACACCGCATGCGGGTACAGACACAAAATAACACACGTACACAAACACTCAAACAATCAAATTTGAAACTTCTACTCACCGCTAATTAAGACGTAGTGAGAAAAAAATAACAAGAAAAAAAAATACACACACACACACACTCATTTTCTGTTCTTCTCAACGTGCCTCTGTTTTTCCTTCTTTTTTCTTTTTTCTTTTTTGTGTGTGTACTTTTTTAACTCCTTATTTAATTTTGGTTGCGCTGATAATCGCATTTTTGACCTCCTCTCATCCTCCCATTCACCCCCTGTGTCTCGGTAGTCAGCGGCACAGAAAAGAGCAAACATGTGCGCACAAATCACACCAATATATAAGTATATGTACATTGCATGCATGCGTGTACACATGCGGACTCAAATCAGCCTCGCCTTGCCTTTTTTTTTTTTTTTCCTTCCCCCTCCCCCCCGCTTTTGCTCCTCCCGCTGCCTCTCAGAGAGAGAAAAAAGGAAAGGCGCCACGGCAAAGTAAGACGGACGGGAGGTGGTCACAAATACAAAAAAAAAACCAAAAACACACGTCCACCCCACAAACACACACACACACAGAGAGAGAGAGAGAGGCAGAGAGACGCATGCACAATAATAATAATAATAATGGTAACAGAAAAAAAAAAAAAAAAATTTGACCAAATAAATAAATAAAATTCATTAACGGAACAAAACATCAGTGTCGCCAAAATTGAGAGGAAACAAAGGAAAACAAAAAAAAAAAAAGAAATGGTTTTCTCGCGTCAATGGCTCACATTGTAATGTGTTTTATTCCTTCCTTGTTTTTGTTGTTGTTGTTGTTGTTTTTGCCATTCAACCTTCCTCCCGCAATTTGTCTTCAAAGGTCTCAGTTTATTTCAATTCGTTGCTTCACAAAATGTTTTAGCCCCACACACACACACACACCTCCTCCTAAAAGAGGCATATAATCCAAAGGTAAAAGAAAACACATAACGTGTGCCACTTTATGAATGAACAGTAATTCCCCTCCCCCTCTGCATTCATACATATAATACTTACATGCATAGTTGCTGTATTTGTTACACTCAATGCCTCCTCCTCCTCCGTCGGCAGTACCAAATGTCATTGGTTTCATCCCAACCTTCTCCGTACGATATCCATTTTTTTTTTTTTCCTGCCCCTTGTATTCTTCTCATGTATCGTCTCTCATTTCATTTTCCACCAACTCCCCTCTCTATTGTTGTTGTTGTTTTTTCCCCAACTCCACCCCAATGTATTTAAAAAAGTTACGTCAATATGATGGAATATATAAATGTATTCTGCTTCTTTCCCACCCTTCTCCTCCCTCCTTTCCTATGTTGTGTCACGTTTTTTTTTTTTGTTGTTGTTGTTGTTGTTTCCTTCATTTTCTTCTCAGTTTCTTTTTTGTTTGTTGCCTTTTCATTTCCCGTAGGGTAATAAATCAAAAATAAATAAATAACAAATTAAAAAATAAATAAAAATTTCTTTCGGCCTGAATGTTTGCGGACGTATTATTTGGCGGTGACCGTCTCGTTTTCGTGACTACCGCCCCGCCGCCCCGCAGTGGCCCTCACACACGCCTCCACACACACACACACACAGCGAGGCGTACCTCGCGACTCCCCTCCCCTCACCCCACACGTCGTCGTGTCTTTTCCCCGGCGTTAATTGTCCCCTCCTTTTATTTGATCCCTTTCTTCCCAATAAAAGTAAAAAAAAAAAAAAAGAGGGGAGCGAAGAAATGTTGTTGTTGTTGTTGTTAGCTGCCTTGGAAAACTGTCACTTCGCTCCCCCCGCCGTGTCTCCCTTTTTTTTTCCTTTTTTATCCCATCCAACGAAACCCCCTTCCTACCACCGTCCCCTGCAAAAGTGAAAACGATGGGGGGTCAAAAATCTTGCACCTCCTGTCCTGCCAACAATTTCGCCGCGGCACAACGACAACCACAGAATCCCTCAGTACCTCAAGCCAAGAGTTCATGATGACGCGCGCGGGCGTACAGCATGACACGCTGAAGATCCTGCTTGAGTCCCTTCAGCTGGTCGTTCTCCCGTTCAAAGAACGCCCGTAACTCACGTGCCTCCTTACCGTTGTCCTCCATCACCTGCAGCTGCTCCTCCAGCTCGCTCTGTTCCTTGGCGTAGCTGCGCTTGTTGTCCTCCAGCTCACGTTTGGCCCCGTTCACCCACTCAGTCAGATCTTTGCACTCGTCTTCCAGCAAAACAACATCACCAAACTGCCTTGACTCATCTTTGTAAACACGGCCCTTCATTATATCCTGCTCCTTCAGGGAGGACACATGACGCTGCTTCACGTGTGTGCCACGACGGAAATGGTACCGCTGATCATCATCCAGTTGCTTTAGTCGAGAGCGGGTCTCAACAAGCTTCGCCATCTCCACCCCAGCGCTTTCAAGCAGCTTGGCCTTGGCCTTATCGCGTTCTTCAGTGTTCTTGTTGATCATGTCCTCCTGTGATGCGTAAACTTTGGCTGCAGCATTACTTGCCGCCTGGAGCTTCCCCCTCGCAGCCTCCACACGCCGAGACAAGTTATCAAGATCCACTTTTGTCCACGAAGACGGATCCCCAAGACTCTCATTGGGCCTTTCCCGGCACACACTCGTCCAAACCTGCTGCACATGGGACCGCTGTGCCTCCTCTTCGGCAGAATCGAGGTCGCGTTCAACGGCATTACCGTACTTTTCCGCAAACACATTGATGGAATCAAGCTGCCGTCTCACCCGCTCCGTTTCCTCCTTCACAAGCCGAAGCTCTTTGCGCAGGCCAATGACTTCGCTGTACACCTGCAGCTGTGACTCAACAGCCTTCTCACGCGCCTCCAACTCCCTCAGCTCATTTTCTTTCTCCTCAATGCTGGCGAGAACAAACCGAATAGAACTTCGACGACCAGGAGCAGCACCACTCGCACCTGAATACTCCTCAAACTCCTGCACCGCGGCTTCACCGAGCTCCCTGTAGTCGAACTCGGCAGCAGCCTCCGGAGCATTCACCTCCTCGGGCACTTCTTCCTTGTGTTCACTGGCAAGGCCGGCTTCGGCTTCACCGAGCTCCCTGTAGTCAAACTCGGCGGCAGCCTCCGGAGCATTCACCTCCTCGGGCACTTCTTCCTTGTGTTCACTGGCAAGGCCGGCTTCGGCTTCACCGAGCTCCCTGTAGTCAAACTCGGCGGCAGCCTCCGGAGCATTCACCTCCTCGGGCACTTCTTCCTTGTGTTCACCGGCAAGGCCGGCTTCGGCTTCACCGAGCTCCCTGTAGTCAAACTCGGCGGCAGCCTCCGGAGCATTCACCTCCTCGGGCACTTCTTCCTTGTGTTCACTGGCAAGGCCGGCTTCGGCTTCACCGAGCTCCCTGTAGTCGAACTCGGCGGCAGCCTCCGGAGCATTCACCTCCTCGGGCACTTCTTCCTTGTGTTCACTGGCAAGGCCGGCTTCGGCTTCACCGAGCTCCCTGTAGTCGAACTCGGCGGCAGCCTCCGGGGCTTTTTTAACTTGGCTTTCAGCTAACTCCTTTGGGGAGCCGCTCTCCTGCCTCTGCATCTCAACACTTGTCTCCATTTCGCTCTCGATTCCTGTACTGAGCTGTTCTTCTGTTTTATCCTGGATGATGTGCTTACCGAGTAACTGGTAGATGTCCCTTTACTTCCTTGTAGAATTTCGTTTGTTTGTTTGTTTGTTTGTTTCGCTTTGTTCTTCACTACGTTGCCGTGAAAACGCAAGAGGCATGGGGGGAGAGTGCAATACAGTTGCGAAGAGGCACAAGAAACAGCAGAGGGCGGCAAATCGGAAAGCAAGTGCGGCGCCACACGGTGGCACAAGTTCCCCGCGTTCATTTCACCATTAAGCCCGCGGGTGTACCCACCGCCGCCGCGTCCCCGGCCCTACCTCGCCCCAGAAGCAGCATCGGCTGAGGGTTCCCCACGCAGCATGATGAATAAAGAGCTCCGTAAGCTGCTCCCCCCAATCTTTCATTACATACACGTCTCTTTTGGAGGGGTCGTTGTTACCATCTCCCTCTTTCCCTCTCTCTCTCTCTCTTATTCACTCTTTCACTCACACTGGGAGAAACATACATATAAATATATAAATAAATAAATAAATAAATGCAGTATTTCATACATGCCGCGTTCTCCCAACTCCACCCACGTCATGCCACACAGACCTCAAGTTCAACACATTGCCTGCCCACGCACTCACGCAAATAGTCATCTACAGGAAATTCCGAAAACAAAACAAAAATGCAGGAGCACGAGCAATACCCCCTTCCCCCGCAAACACATCTCAAAAGCAAAAAAGGAAAAGAAAAACAAAAAAAAAAAAAAAACATCGCTGGAAGAAGCAAGAAATCAAAAAACAGAAAGCAAGAATGGAAAATACTAAATAACTATCCAGGTGGAACAGTAGTAATAAAAAAAAGAACCACGCAAGACCTCACAAGTTTATATACTGAAACCCACAAAACACACAAAAAACAATAGTATATATATATATATATATAAGCATAGAAAACAATACATGACATTTTTTTTCTTTTTCTTCCTTTAAGGGACACGGGAAAACATACAAAAAGTTCAAAAAAAAAAATAATATATAAATATATCGTCCAAATTCCTAATAAGCCTCGCTTCACAATAGAACCTCCTCATCCCCCAGCACACAAAGTGACGCGTACACACATGTATATATATATATATATATATATATATATATATATACGAAAAAAAACCTTTGTATAGAAGAAAA